TTGTAGGCTGCTGCTGCATGCCAGTAGCAGCCCCAGCGGCCCCGGCTGGCCCTCGACCCTGGGCATAGTCCTCATACCGTAATTCTTCGAACGACTTGCCCTTGTAGGCGTCCATTGCCGTTATCGACACGAGCTGGCCAAAGGTTCGAATCGAATAACAGCAGTGGTAGTAGTATTACTAGTACTACCTTCAGACGTGAGTCGTGGTCGATGACCTGTTGGTACTTGACTTGAGAGGTGCCCGCTGCTTGGCCCCCTCCTCCTCCGAAGGCGGTACCACCACCACCGAAGAGGCCACCACCAGCGCTGTTCTGTACAATTAGACGCTTGTTGCTTAGGGAGTGGTATGGTGCATGTCACCTGTTGCTGGCCGAACATGCCGCCACCTGCTGCTGCTAGTTGTTGTTGTCCGAAGAGACCTCCACCAGTGTTCTGCTGCTGCCCAAAGGCCCCTCCTCCTCCGAAGAGACCACCCCCAGAGGACTACGGTTACGAGTATCATCCCACAATACAGTGGCAGAGTCGTGACCCACCTGTTGGCCGAAAGCACCACCTCCGAAAAGACCACCAGCTGGTCGTTGCTGTTGTTGGCCAAAGCCGCCGCCTCCACCGAAGAGGCCGCCCCCCTGTGCTGTCTGCTGAGGACTGCTACCAAAGAGACCTCCACCCTGAGAACCCAGGACATACCGCACGGTATCGCGAATCTGCCACACTACCTGTTGCTGCTGTTGACCACCAAAGAGGCCACCTCCAGCTGGCTGACCGCCACCGCCAAAGAGGCCACCGGCTTGTGAGCTCTGCTGTTGTCCAAATAGGCCGCCTCCTCCCCCTCCGAACATGCTAGGGAAGGGGAATGCAGGGAATGCAAAACGCTGCATGGTAGTGGCAACACTGGAACGCAATCCAATAGTAGCCTCGAGAGGATAAGAGATATCATGTGCAAGAGCAAGGTAACAAAGTGTGTCGCATGGGGGGCTTACTCGTATCTTACTCGATTGAACCTAAGATACGCCAGGATACGCGAGCTGGCGGAAGACTGGGTCCTGGAGGGGTAATAAGCTCATGGAGAACTACATATGCTGTCGACAGTAAAAATACTTGGGGAAATTCTGGGAATTACGG